CTAAACTGCTCTCTGGCCTCTACACAGTTCTTTCTTGTAGCACTTTATGTCAGGCCCATTGCTTAGCAGAAATCCTCCTACCTCTCTGCCTTTCTTGTCTTTGCTCACCAATTAGGATTGGCTCTTTCTCATTCTTCAGTTCAAATGCTACCTTCTTAAAGAGGTCTTCTCGGAATGCCTCTGTCATTTTCCTTCTCTTTCCTATTTATTGCCTTCAAAGGGCTAATCACAATCTGTGATTTCCCATTTATCTGTTCACTTCTTTGGTCCTTGTGATAAGGTCAGTCCCTGGGGAACTTGCGCTCGCATCCAGCACTGTGCCTGGCATAATAATCTATTTGAACAGATGAATTTAGCTGACAATGTTAGACGGCTATCGTCACGTGCAGTTCTATTGAAGTTAAAGCCCATCTGAAAGACTATGGCTGGACTGGCCTAAGCTGCTCAGTATCTCCTACATTTTTCTCTCAGGGGCCAGAAAGAGACAGCATGGTTTCATGAGGTCAGCCCATCCTAGCCAGGCAGCCTCTGTGATGTCACACAGGACAGGATTCTGCACTCCTTTTCCATTCTGTAATAGTGTGAAAACATCTACATTTTTCATAACATGATTCAGTGAGGGGGAGGGAAGGGGTACATCCCCTCCCCTGGACAGAATTAGTTTAGGGAGACTAATTTGTTCTCATGTTCAGAGAAAATGGGTAGCAGCTACAGCATGTTTGGACTAAGCTAACGAGGATATGAACGAGAAGAATGAAGAAAAGAAAAGCCAAAGAGATAAAAAGGAAGCAGAAGAGAGGGAGAAGAGAGAATAGAAGAAAAAAGAGAAGTGGGAGTATGAAGTGGCTGAGGGAGAGAAAGTATAATCCTGGTAGAGGAGGAGTCAGAGGAAGAAAGCACTGGACCCGTGTTCTGCTTAACTTTGTAAATGGTAGGTAGTGACTGACCTGGGTGTAGAATGCGGGATGGCTCAGGGAGGAGGATTGCCTGGGATTCCACAGAGAGGTCACTGACATTCCTGACATGTATTTTTAGATGCCCAGGTAAGGCCATCTTAGGGGTAATTCTCCTGGGTGTATTCACAATAGTAATTTGGGAAAATGGAGGAGAAACCAGAATTGTGGAGAAAAGGGAGAGAGGGAGAGAGACTAAGTGAACTACACCTTAGACTCCAAACTGCAGGACCTGTCCTCAACACACGTCTCTCAATTCTTAAGCCATTAATACACAAGAAACACGGGACTTAAAAGTCAATCTGGGGGCTGGGAAGATGGCTCAGTGGTAGAGCGCTTGCCTTGCAAGCCTGAGGCCCTGGGTTCGATTCCTCAGCACCATATAAGCAAAAAGAAAAAAGCCGGAAGTGGCGCTGTGGCTCAAGTGGTAGAGTGCTAGCCTTGAGCTGAAGAGCTGAGGGACAGCGCCCAGGCCCAGAGTTCAGGCCCCACAACCGGACCCAAAAAAAAAAAAAAAAAAAAAGTCAATCTGGCCAGGGGCTGGTGGCTCACGCCTATAATACTAGCTACTCAGGAGGCTGAGATATGAGGATCGAAGTTCAAAGCCAGCCCAGGCAGGAAAGTCAATGAGTTCTTATCTCCAATTAATCACCAGAAAACCAGAAGTGGCATGGTGGCTCAAAATGGTAGAGGGCTAGCCTTGGGCAAAAAAGCTCAGGGAATAGTGCCCAGGCCCAGAGTTCAAACCACATAACTAACAACAAAAAAGTCAATCTGTTACTAATATCTTCCTCTGTCTTAATTGAAATATAAAAAGATTTTACTAGGTGCTGGTGGCTCCATACCTGTAATCCTAGCTACTCAAGAGACGGAGTTCTGAGAATCAGGGTTCAAAGCCAACCCAGGTAGAGAAGTCCATGAGAATCTTATCTCCAATTAAGTACCACAAAAAACAAAAAACAACCAAATCTGTGGTTCAAGTGGCCCTGAGTCAAGCAGCAGTACTGGCAAATTTCCAAAGCAGGGTAGGATAGTCTTATTGTAGACCTATAGAAATCATATACTGCAATCATGGCCAAAATATTCCTACTAGTGGTTCATAAAAATTTACTGTGAAACATCCCCAATATTAGCTGGAGACTCAAGCAAAATCATATAACTTAAAAAAGAAAAAAATAATCTTTTCCCCTATATTCTTTTCCCCTCTTCTACAATATTTAGTCCCCTTCTAGTTGTATGTTTTAATAAGAAAAATATCATAACCATATTTATTCAAATTTAAGATATCTTTACTCCAAAATTTGGGGGGGGGGGTTCAGTCGTGGGGCCTGAACTCTGGGCCTGGGCGCTGTCCCTCAGCTCTTCAGCTCAAGGCTAGTGCTCTACCACTTGAGCCACAGCGCCACTTCCAGCTTTTTTCTTTTTGCTTATGTGGTGCTGAGGGATGGAACCCAGGGCCTCATGCATGCCAGGCAAGCGCTCTACCCCTGAGCCACCTTCCCAGCCCTTTACTCCAAATTTTTAAATGTTAATTTTGTAGCTCATAGATTTTCTGGTTTGTATCAAATTAGCTCTGCAAGGCGCAAATAACAAATAGCAGTTGAGGGTGCTGCTGGATTGGAAGCCTGTGGTACAAACTGCTCAGACTCCTTCAAAATCTTTTATGTCCATATTTTCTATCTAATCTGTTCCTATTAAGCCATGTTCTAACTACAATAAGACAGATATGGAAGATAGGAAATCCTGATTCGAGGAAGCTAAAAGACTGACAAAACCTTACAAGTCTCTGTATTCCATTATACTGCCACTGGTGACTCAGAATCTATCTTCTGAATAAGAAAAAAACTGTTTAGGAGCTCCTCAATGCTAATTGCCTCATTGGTTTTTGTATCGCAGAATGTTAATGAGTCCACTAGGATGCTAATCATGTCTGAAGTATGAAGGATTCCTATAAGATGGAGATTCAAAGATCTTTCATCTAATTTCCTTTAAAAAATTTGTTTTTGGCAAATTTTGTGTAGAAAATTGGGAACTATGTCCCCAAATGATACTGGTATCACCGCATAGTGAATCTCACATTTATCTTGTATTCCTGTTTTCATCTTGCTTTAAGAAATTCTAACCCACAAGACATTTTGCTAGAGTGACTTTGGGGTTCCTTGAAGAATTGGTTTTCTAATGACTGGTGGTTTTCTTTAATCCTATTGGTAGGATCCAAAAGTAAAAAGAATAGAATCTTCCCTAGAAAGTTATTTTGGGGGGAAAAATGGAGATTTTTTTTTTTACAACTTTAAAAGCAGTTAAATGTTTGCTGAATGACAAAAAGAAAAAGTAGACGGCTTTTGATCTAAGTTATGGCGCAATAAAGTAGCTCTAGGAGATCCAATGTTAACAGGGTGAAAATTGTTACAGTAATCCCGAGAGAACATGGAAAGGCCTCAACCCAATTTACCTCTTGACTGGCCAGAACTCAGCTAATATTTTTAGTCGTCCTTTCGTATTACTGGTGAACGACAAAATATATGGGTTTTCTCTGTATGTGGGGAAACTGTGATGTGTGGTGTAAGGGTTAAGGCTCTGGACTGAGAAGAGTGAAGGCGTCCCAGCCAATGGCAGCCCGTGCTGGTGATGTACTGCTTTCCAGTTCTGATTCATTGGCTGCCTAGGGTTTGTCATTCTATCCCCGGCGTCTGCAAGCAGCGTGGGTCGGGTTTTCTGTGGTCTAGCTAGCTAAACTGGATCTTGGCCGCCTGCACGTGCAGTTTCCATTTAACTTTAGCTCATCTCTCGCTCTGAATAGAGGCAGCTGTTACGTTTCTGATTATCCTCTCGATTGGGGGTGAGGGGTGGCGAACCTTGGTTCTATTAACCTCTTTGGAGGTCGTTGGAGGTTCCCTGTGCCCGGGTCACGTGACTGTCTAACAAGTGCAAACAAATAACTGTGGAATCCCACAAGCTACCGAGGGGAAACCTGCCAGAAACTCAGAGCTCGTGCCCCGTGCGTGGATCAGCTGCGCTCGCGTGTGGGCGGGTGTCCGGCTGCGTGTCACTCCGCGGGTCGGGACGCGGTGGGTGGCCGTGTAGCTCGCGTGGGCCTGCTGGGGCCACGGAGCGGGGAGGCCAGCCCCGAGGTGTGGGGCCCTGGGGCCGATCGCGCGACCCCAGGGCAGCGGCCAGGCCGTGGCCGAGCCGGTCCTCCAGGCGGCCGGGGCGGCGTCCCCGCCCGGAGTAGGGGTGCACTTGCAGGCAGGTGAAGAGCCCCGGCGCCCAGGCGCGGACGCCCGAGGAGTAGTTGGCCAGCCCAGACTCGGTCAACGGCCGGGTTCGGAGAAGCTTTCAATCCACGGGGGTCCGACAGTCTGTCCGGCTCCGGTCCTGGCTCCGATCCGGGGATCCGGACGCTCCCTTTGGGCTTAGCTTGGGGCGCTGGCCGGGAAGCGGCGGCGGCGGCGGAGAAAGAAACTGGGTAGGGCAGTGACGTCATCGGCGGCCGCCCCTCCCCCGCCGGCCGGTGCTCGCCGCAGTTCCTGCCCTACGACATCCGGGTCTCTCCAGCTGCTTCGCCGCGCCGCAGCTGTAGCGGCGGCGGAGCGGGCGGGGCGGGGCGGGGCGGGGCGGGGTGGGCCGGGGGTGGGGGAGGGGCGGCGCGGTGCCATCGTGAGCGCGCCTGCGCGGGGGCGCGCTAGAGGCGGCGGCGGCGGCGGCGGCGGCGGAGCTAGGGACGGGAGCGCGCGCAGGAGCTGGAGAGAGCCGTGGTCTCCGCGCCCCGCCGGGTCCGCAGCTGGGGGTGCTCCGGCGGCTGCAGCTCCCGAACGGGTAGTCGGGGAGGGGGGTGGGGGGGACGCCAGGCAGGTGGGGGCACGAAAGCGATGAGGCCTCGGCTCTTCCTCCTCCTCCTCCGGGACCCTCTCTCTGCCTCCCGCTCCAACGCCCGGATGATCTGAGCCGCGAGGGCGCTGAGAGCCGGGGGCCCGGACGCAACCCGGCTCCACCCCTCCGCCGCCCCAGCCCCGGCCCGCCGTCACCGCGGTGACCCCCTTTTCGCCCCCTCCCCGGCCGCTGTCGCCGCCGCCGCCTCGGCCGACCAGGGACCTGCCCGCCCGCGGCTGCTCCGGGTAAGCGCGGCGCTCGGGCCGCGGACGGACGGGGACGGGCGGGCGGGCGGCGCGGGCCTGCGCGGTGGCGGCGGCGGCGGCGGGCAGGCCTGGGGCCTGTAAACAAGCCGGGCGTCTGCCCGGGCGCTCCCGGGAGGAGACGCGACAACTCCACCCCCTGGCCCGGCCTCCTCCCCGGAGCCGGGCGGCGGGCGGCGAGGGGTTAACGCTCGGCGGGGGCGGGGGCGGAGTGCGAGTGGCGGCGGCGCGGGGAGGGGGCGCGACCCTCGGCGATCGCGGACGGCCCGGAGGGTCGGGGGTGGGGGTGGGGGGGCCCGCTGGGCCGGTGGCCGGCGACGCGGGCGCGGGCCTCGGGGCCGGCTGGGCCCGGCCGCCGCCGCGGAACTCCCCCCCCCCCCCGCACCCCCAACCGAGGAGGGGGCGTCGCGGCGGCCGGCGCCGCCCAGGCTGACCCCCCCCACCCCACCCCGCCCGCTCCAGCCTCGGGGAAGGGAGGCTGGGAGAAAGAAGGGGGGACGCTTCCTTTGAAGCGGACTTAGTCTGGAAACACCCCCATTTTGGAGAATTGCTGCTCCCGATCTTTTTCCAGGGGGGCAGGGCCGAGCGTGAGGCGCCTTCGGCTCTCGTTGGGGGGGTGCGGAGGGGGGTGGCCTCGGGTTCATTCATTATTAAGGCTTCGATCCATTGAAGGAAATTGTGCTGGTTTCCCATTCCTGGTCGCCTGGTAAATCGGGGCTCAAGTTCTTTAGGAGAGAGTTTGGTTGAGGTGTGGTTGGGTTGTGCCTGGAGATGTATGTGTAAGTAAACCGGGAGCTTTCTCTTCGGGGACAACTGACACTGGAGGACCCCCCGCCCCCCGCAGTGTTTAGATAACGTGGTGAACATTTATTTCACCACCCTTGGATTTTCTGAAGCACCGCGTGGTTTCTACAAATGCGCACCGTGCCCTGGGTCCCAGGAACCGAGGTGCCACTCCCCACCCCAAGTTTCTTGCTAATTGGATTAATGAGCCAAATGTAATTTTGTTTTTTAAAAAAAATGTTCAGTAGAGAATAGGAGCCAGGTATTGTTGGTGGGAAAAAAAAGAAGTGATTTTTATGTTTTTGAATCGAGAAATTAATTTTCTGGTGCCTGGGGGAAACTTGCGTGTTGGGGTTTTTAAACACAGCCACGTTTTGGATGTAGAGTCATAGATTTGATTTAAACGGTAAGCCGCTGGGCCTTAGCAGTGTCAGAACTTGTAGGATTCCAGTAGAGCTTAGTCTCCAAACTCCCCTCGACTAGAACACCCCCCCCCCCACTCTTACTCTTATCTGCCTACATATCGAACCTTTTTCAAAGGTTGTATTTTTGGAATTCCTTATTTTACAGATGAATCGGCACTGAAAACGATGACCATCTCATCCCTATTTTCTTATCTTCAATGTTACCTTTATTGGCCTAATGTTGCCTTTGCCAATACATTTGAAGCACAAAGTAACATTTTCTTTTCAATGCTATAGTTATGTAGGGTTTTGTTTGTTTTCCATTGTTGGGGATCCAGCAATGGATCCAGGGCCTCATGCTAGGCAAACTACCACAGAGCTACACCTGAAGCTCAAGGTCTGTTCCTTTGTGTACTGTGTGTATATATCTAATTAACATTAAATCATGTAGCATGGTTACTTTTAGTCTGGAGTTTGCAGCAATAACACACTATTGGAATTACAATGAACTGCATGTGGAAGTTGCATAAGTCATTTTTACTTGATAATATTTTTACATTAGTGCAGTAATAACATAAGGGAATGGTGTATTATTAAGATGTAACATTTGATGTTACATGTTTGAGACATGAAATTGCTTTGTACCTTGTTTGTATCTTTTTCTTAAAAAAAACAAACAGGGATTGGATCATTTTAGTATAGAGGGCTGAAGTATATAACCTGTTGAAATGAACACTGAACTAGGAGACAAGAATTGTTTTGTCATGAATGTGCTCCAAAATATGTGTCCATGGACAAATCCTTTAGCCTTTAAGTCTCAGCTTCCAAAGCACTACAACCTGAGGGGTAGATTATGTTATCACATGCACTATCCAATTATTAATGTTTTTTTTAATCATGCTTGTGTGGATACGCATACATTTAACAAATAAATGCCTGGTATGTGCCAAGCACTTAGATGTTTCAGATTCTAAAGCTGAATTTTCTTTTTGTTTGTGTGTGTGTGTGTGTGTGTGTGTGTGTGTGTTCGTGTACATACACACACATGCTCAGCAGTCCTGGGGCTTGAATTCAAGGCTTGCTTGCCATGCCTGAGCTTTTTTGCTCAAGACTATTGCTCTACCACTTGAGCCACAGCTCCACTTCCAACATTTTGGTGGTTAGTTGGAGATGAGTTTTATGGACTTCTTTCCGGGGCTGGCTTCAAACCGTGATCCTAGATCTCAGCCTCCTGAGTAGTTAGGATTGTGAGCATGAGCCACTGGCATCATTTATAAAAAATTAAATTGGTACTTGTTCTTTAGAGAAGCCTTCATTGATTTCTCTTTTTTTCTGTTCAGACTGGCAAGTCTGCAAAAACTTCTTAGAGAAAGCAGGATAGAGATTCCAAAGGAGACAAAGTCGGTTGACACTACAGGTTTGAACAAGCACATGACCTGTAGTAGTTAGAAGTGAAGGGTGTTATAAGTATACATTAGGATGTTTTTTTCTGTCAATTCAAGCTGGGTCTTGATGATTTTGTCCTGTTAAATTTTTGTTTGAAAAATGTTTCCTAATACTTCACTTTTTTCCCCTCATTTTTTAGTAGCATCAGATGGTAAATACTGTTGAGCAGCTACTGAATACTTGCAAGAGCTGATGTAAAGATAATTAATGTACAGTGATATTTTGATGTTTGTTTCAAATGATTATCTATTGCCTGGGCATATGACTGATTGGTACTCTTAAATACTTTCCATCTTTAATTAAATCAGAAGGACACAGCCTTATAAGAAAGTCAGCTGAAGCAGGGTTTTGTAAGAGTTACGCAAGAAGATAAAGCAGGGCAAAACAAGTCTGACTGAAGTATAGGGACCTTGGGAGAGGCAAGGAGACAGTGCTGTATGTGAAGCAGCTAAGTGAAAGCTGTCTTTTGCAGTATTTCCTATCTTCTGAGATAACAAAAATATTTTAAAGTCCATTTGTTTTATTATTTTGCTATTATTAGCCATTATACATAAAATTTCTGATTTATGATTATTAGCCATACTTGCATGAAAGAAGCTTTATCCTGTATCAAAATTTATAGGCTGATTATGTTTTCTTTCTCCCTCAACTTTAATACCTAATATTATCTAATACCTAATATACTATAAAAGAAACAATTTTATACATCATTATGAATCTTCAGGATATATCCTTGCATGATTTTGTCATTTGCATGTTTTACTGTCTAATTGTTTTACTTAGTTTTTCTTTTGCTGAGGTAGTAGGAGAAGCTAGGGAAAGTGAAGGATTTGTGGGGGGGAGGTGAGTTCTATAAACTTTTCTTTAAACCAAAGTAGACTTGCCAGGCACCGGTGGCTAATGTCTATAATCTAGCTACTCAGGAAGCTGAGATCTGCGGATCTCAGGTCAAGACTAGCCTGGGCAGAAAAGGCCCCAATTAACCACTCAAAAATCAGAAGTGGTACTGTGGCTCAAATAGTAGAATGCTAGCCTTGTGCACAAAAGAGGTTCAAGGACAGAACCCAGGCCCTGGGTTCAAGCCCCACAGCAAACAACAATAACAACAAAAGTATACTTCACAGTTTTTGGTTTAAGAAATTGAAAAGTACAAATTAATGTGGATCAATAAAGCAGATCGTTGTTGGCTCACATGTGTAATCCTAGCTAATCAGGAGGCTGAGGTCTGGGAATCATGATTCAAAGCCAGACAAAGCAAACCAAATCCCAAAAAAATGGAGCTGTGGCTGAAATGATGGTGTACCATCCTTGAGTGAAAAACTAAGGGACAGCAGCACCCAGGTCCTGATATTGGCACACACACAAATATCAATAAATTGGTCTGTTGATACAATGTTTGTAATAGAGATAAATACCTTAAAAATGTTTGGGAGGGAGCTTGTTTTCATAATCCTTAATGTACTTATTATATTATTGACCCAGGTTTATGTAGTATTCATATTTAGGATCTGAGTTGGTATCGTTAGTTATTGTGGCAAATATCTGAAAATCATATGAGCCTGGAAAACTTCTGGATACAGAAGAAAGTAAATAATAAAAACTGTACATTTTCACCAAGTGTTTTTTTTACTACAACCTTCTAAAATACATGTGGTCTTCATTGTACAGATAGATACACTCAGTCTTCTCTGTGGGTTCTGCGTCTGTGGAGTCAACCAAGTTTGTACTGGAAGTAATTGTTTATGTAGGTAGTGTTTCCACTGTCATTTTATTTGAGGGACTTCAAGATCCATAAGTTTTGGTACCTGTGGGGAGTCTTTGAACCAATTCTTTGTGAATACCAAAGGTTGCATGTCTTGCTATAGAGAACCTAAGTGACATGCTAGGAGAGGCCATGATGTAGAAATAAAGATACATAAGTGGATTTTCTTCATTTATATGGGCCTTCTTGCTCCTGGGAATTATAAAGGCTCATGAACATTTCTCATACCTAGAATTCTAGAGTTAAAATGAGCACTTGTGAGTAAATACATTTTTTCCAATTTAAGAATCCCTTCTAAGACATTCAGAAAGTGCGTGAGATATTAAATTCATTTTCTCTCTTCCAAAGCTTCAGAAGTTAAAAGAGCCAAACCTTTTTATTTCACCAACCAGTGTTCAGAATGAGGAATGGAGTTAATCTGAATACCTCAAATGGCTGATGTCCTTAATGAAGGATATGAGTAACATTTTCTAAGAATCAGAATTTTCTAAAACTCAAAGACAGAGATGGTAATCCTGAAGTCCTTCGAATAAAATGATAATTGAAATAATGTGTAAATAATTGTGCTATTTCCAATGTAAGTTTGG